GGTTTGGATCCTATATAGGGATGGCGGGTCAGCTCACTGGGTGAGCATATGGTGCTGACAACACCAAGTCAAGGGTTAAGATCCCCTTACCCGTCATCTTTAAAAAAAAAAACACCCAAATCCTACAAATTTGTCCCAATGAAAAATGTGGCAAGAAAATGCTCAAAACACCCAAATCCTACAAATTTGTCCCAATGAAAAATGTGGCAAGAAAAAATAACAAAAACAAGGAAACTTTTCACAGTCAGGCAGAAAGGTGTTTAGTGATCAAAATTCAGACAGAAAAACAGTCTTTCAGCAGATGAACAAATAGTTTCCTCTGCAAGTGACACATTCTGGGACATTTACACTGCCAAACGTAACTAGTAATGACAAACACCAAAGAAGCAAAACCTAATGGAAAAACCCTAAGCTGGCAACCAGGAACCCCAGTTCTGGTTCCAGGACAGGCCTCTGGCTGTCTGATCCCATCATAATGGTGGCCAAACCTGGCATCCCTTTTTTCATCACGAGAAGGAACATCTATCTCCACCCACACCAATCAGAAATGTTTTGAGGACAAAAAAGTGATAGGTGAAAATGCTTTGGAATGTGTGTCCTCTGTAAATACAAGACATCATTATTACTAGCTCAAAGATGACCGGGAAAATAGGATTACAGAATATCAGTGGCAAGAGGGAACTTAAGATGGTATGATCCAATTCTTAATCTGGGTCCAGGCCCCTGAAGCTGTCCACATGCGTGCTTTCTGGGAAAGGGTTACAGTTGTTATCAGATTCTCAAACGGTTAAGAACCTCTAAGCCTCTCATTTTACCAATATGAAAACTAAGACCCTAAGATCTGTGTTGATTGTCCTAGAGCTCAGGGTTAGTCAGGGAAAAAGTGGACAAGAGCCCAGAGTTCCTGGTCTCCATCCACACTCCTCCCACACACTATCCCATGTTCTGGGGAGTAAGAAAAATCACATAAATTTCATATAGCCACAGAGTATGTTATATAAGCCAACACACACACGATTTCTAAAGTTACAGCAAAGTTTCTATCCTTACTTATCTCTTTTAAGGCTACTTGCTGAGGTCTTTGATAATGGAGACAGCACTTTATTCATTTCTATACTCTCATCTCTGCCTAGTTCAGTGCCTGGAGCCAAGAAACATGTAAATGATTTTTTAAGATTGAAAATAAAAAGGACTATATTCTAAGAAACAAGAAAATAAGACTACATGGTGCTGTTTTATTAAGCAAATACATTAACAAGCATCATGGGAACAAACACAAGTCAATATATAATCTAAGAAAGAAGTTGGTTTTTTTTTCATACATTAACAAGCATCATGGGAACAAACACAAGTCAATATATAATCTAAGAAAGAAGTTGGGTTTTTTTTTTTTGTCTTATGTGCGTTTTTAATCAAAATACCAAAACTTGTGCTCTCAGATGGCCAAGGTCCCTTGAGCAGTCTACCTTTGGAACTACAGAGATGTCAAAAAGGGTGCACTGCACAGAATATTTTGAGAACTCTTTTTTTAAGACTGTTTCCAGTTAGCAATGATCTGAATACTAAAAATCTAAAGGAATTCCTACACAACTATCCCAAGGACCACTGGAACCCATCAGGAGTCAAGTTTCAGGCACAGAAAGATTTGCTTCCAGGTATGTGAAGGATCACTGCCGTGCCATAAAGAAAGGACTCTACCTGTGGAATGCAAACTGACTTCGTAACTAAGGCATTGCTGTGCTACCTTCAGGTATGCAGGTAGTTTCAAACAATCTCATTAGAAAAAAACTGAGCCTGCACTATCACTCTCGTGAACATGGTCATTACCTGCATAATCTACAGGGTGGCCTCCACGAAACTGCCATTACAATCTGATGGCAGATAAGGAAGGCCCAAGTCAGCTGGGAGGTTCAAGTGAGGGTGGCCAGAGTGCACTCGGTAAATGCTACGGCAATCTCTAAACACAGGGTGCCATTACTATTGTTAAAAAAAACTTTGCAATCTTTTTGACATTCCATAACATTCTGGAATCATCAACTGGTGACCCCTTCAGAAGCAGGAAGCCTGAGCATCATGCCCTTAACTCAGTCAGCATGGACATTCAAGTGACAGAGAAGAAACGAAAAGGCTAAAAACAAATGCCCCCTCTGCTCCCACCCCAGAAACGCCTGGCTATCAGAGATCTGGACTGGGCGCCCAGGACTAGGGGAAAACCAATCTTATCTCCCTGCAGCTGGCTATGTTGGAAACCCAGATACTGTTTTTTACATATGAGTACTTTTAGATTATTTAAATATTATAGCCTCTATTTAAATATTACAGCCTCTTGTACATTTGAGACTAAAAGTTATAACGTTCCAATTCCCATAACAGCATGAGCTAAGAGTGCCATTTCCATTCACATGAGTTGTTATTCTTAAGAAAGTGAATAGAGTACAGACTTAATCACTCATCTACTCCTTACATTTCTTCCCCAAGTAATAAATAGCATCAGCCTAATGGACGGTTTCTTTAAAGCTTCAAGACTATTGTCAAAAGAAAAATACACCACAGAAAAGTTTTTGATGTAGTGGCCTCATATCTCAACTAGCATAACCTCACCAAGGAGACCGCCAAACTCTAGAATTAAGTTTAAATGCACACAGATGAAAGTTTTCCAGGTGAATCAAGAGAAATCCAAGTTGCACTGGCACCCATTCAACTCCTCTAGGAGGAGGCTGCAGGTGGGCTTGTGAATCAAGTGGAATAAGAACATTTTGAGCAAGAACATGAGGGCTGGCATTCAACCCTGCCCACCTGGCTGATCCCCTTGTCCTGGGCTCCAAATGGCAATCCTGGGAGGGTTAAAACAGAACATCAGCATATCGGAATAACTCCAAAGGGAGGAAACAAAGAGGAGGGAAGGAAAGTGTGGACTCACCATCTGCAGCTCAGGTTTAAATTCTTTGCACTGTTCTCCTGATCTTCATCAGGACAGCCAGGGAGTGTTTAGTAAACAGTGTAAGGAGTAGCCGTGGAGACTCTGAGTAGCTTACTCTCCTCAACCATAAAAACACAGCACAGTTGGGGTAAAGGAGAGAAGACCCAGGAATGGTAAGCACACCCCACCCGAGGGCCTGAGAGCGGCATTTCCAGGGCGTGTTTACCTCAAAGGCTGCTGCTGTGTGTGCCCCAAGGGCACAGCAGAGCTTGCACCCCTGACCAACTCCTAAAAAGAAAATCAACGTCTCTGATGGTGCCGAAACCCAACGAAATCACTGAAATTCAGTAGCAGAAATCACTACCTCTCCGAGCACTGACCTCTCAGGATGGAAAGTCCCAGAGGAGGAGGGACGGAGTTCACATTTCCCATTCAAGAAGTCTGGGGATACTCCGAGGGTCAAAAGGGCAAACACCTCCAGCCTCTCCTGCCTATCCCCCAGCCCTAGGACCTGCTCGCAAGGATGGGCTTTGCTCCCCTCACCTCCCCCAAACACACACGTAGAGCCACGACGGGGAGGATGACAAGGAAGGAAATGGAGGACGGTCACCGAAGCGCCCCCAATAAGCGCATCCGCAAGCGCCCTGCCTGCTCCCGCGTCGTCCCGCCCGGCCACGCCACGCCACCCCCGGACCAAGCCCTGCCCTCTAACCCGCGCTTCCCGGCCACAGCTCTCTCCCAGCGCGGCGCCCGCGCCCACCGCGCCCACCGCGCGCCCCTCTGCACCCCTCGGACGCCCGGCTCCCTCCCAGGCTCTCCTCAAGTCGCCCCACCTCCCCCTTCTGCAGCCGCCGACAGCCCCCGCCCCCGTCAGCAGCCCTTTAACCCCCGATGGCCCTGCTCCTCGACTTCCCTCTCCGCCAAGCCCCCAACCCCGGAGAACTCACCCGCTCCCACCTCCTCCCCAAGCCGGTCCCGCTCGCCCTCCGGCTGCCCCCAACAGGTCTCCTCCCGGCGCGCCCGGGCCCCCGAACACACGCCC